GTTTTCGCCCTAAAAACAGCCCCTCTACCTCTCTGTCCACATAATTGTGACCTTTTCGGGAAATCCCCCCCCCCCTTTTCGACACCGGACGTACTTTATGGATGGTCCCTATATCTAGCAGCTTCCCTTATTTCAGCGAAATTTATAACAGCAGTGCGTTTGTGCGCACAAAAGGTCAGAACTTCACAGAAAATTCAATGTGAAAAAAGTGGCAGAATTTTTCGTGATTTAAGGGGAATTCACAATGCTTCCTCATTATCGAAAGCTAATTATTTTCAGAAGTGACTACGGTCAACTATTTCAAATTCAGGAAGGAAAAGTTGATATTTTACAGTTGTTCCGTATTGAGCAAAGTGTTGCAAAACCACAGCATATTTTAAGCAGTTTCGTCATTTTGCTATACCAAGCAGCAAACGTTTGCTTGTTTTGCCATCTCTGCCATCTTGAGAAGTTTTCTAAATGAAGGTGCTTAAATATCTTTTAAAAGACCCAGTGTGTCTGTCTTCGCCTCACTCATTGGGGTGCGCGGGGGTGCCACTGCCACTATCTCTATCTATCATTCTTTTTAGTTGAAGAGATCGTCGTGTGTGTGGCCCATACAGGCGCAGTTTTTGGCGAACCCTGGACCCGGTTCTACGCACAGAAATATTAGATCTCGATGTTTGTCTAGGGCGACTTAGGTGCTATCCCAATAGAAAACATTAGTATGCGTACACACACCACCCAGAAAATCATATTTTCAAAAGTCGTCTTGAATCGAGAAATCAAGGCTCTTTTGTCCTAACACGAACTACGGATTTGTTTTCCCCCTTCAATTAAGTCATTCGTGTTTCAATGTCATTTACCCTTTCCAACGAAACCCTTTCCAACGAAACTCTATTGCAGTGAGAAACCAAAGTATTTTTACAGGGATACGATCTTTTGGTTGAATTCTTTTAGTAACTCTTAGATTGGCTTGCTTGGGGCTGCTGTGGCATGATCGGGTCGCAAAACACTTTTATCATGGGGTTGTTCAGCTACGTTCGGTATTGATGCGCGCTCTGACCCCAGGACAACGAGTGCCACGCCGTGCCATCGTCTGAAGAGACGTCCGACTCATTCTTATGCTCGGCCGACGGGTACTTCCCGGACGTGTCTTCGTGCACGCGGTACTTCATCTGCGCGGGCAGCAAGGCGTACGTGCGCGACTGCAGCGCCTACCCCAACGCCACGTACGACCCCAACAGCGCCCAGTGCGTGGTCGGCCGGCCCTGCTACACGCTGGACTGCAGTGACCCGCGGCCTTACCAGCTGTACGCGCCCGCGCCCTGGCTGTTCGTCGTCTGCAGGGATGACGACGCGGCCGATGCCTTGGTGCTGGCTTGCGGCCCGGACCAGGTCTACAATGGCACCGACTGCGCCAGAGCCTGCTTACGGCCAGGTCGCTTCGCCGACACCACCGGCGTCTCCAAGTACTTTGAGTGCGTGGAACTGGGCGACGGCACCTACAGCGATCCCACGCCCAAGGCGTGTCCCAGAGGCCTCGTGTTCAGCGGGGAGGGACTCACGGGCCGCTGCGTGGAGGAAGAGGGGCACGAGACGACAACTCGAGCCATATCAACAACAGCAGCAGGAACAACCGAGACTACTGCTCGGACTACAGTATAAACACATTGATAAAGGTGATGCGGTCGCGCAGTGTGGACCAACATGAAATAAAACTCAATGGAACCCTGAACAATTTATTGCATGTACCGAGAAACCTACATTGACCTAACTTTAATGTTATATTCACATATTAAGCTTGGTATATGTGAGGTTTGCGAGAGCGAAAAGCGTAAGCAAGCGTAAAGCGCTGCCGCTGGCGTAAAAACAAGTGGAGTGGGGGTGCGCGCCCTAACACACTAAACCCTTGTGCCACCTTATGCATTGTGTTGTGGATAACACATGCAGTATAGCATGCAGCCACAGTTATGCACAACTTTTCATGCATAAGTATGCACAAGAACTATATCCAATATGCACAAAATTGTGCAGTCATGTGGAATTTAAATGTACGTTATTTGTGCATAACTATGGCTGCATCTGCATGCAATACTGCATGGTGTATCCACAAAACAGTGCATAAGGGTTTATTTTGAACGATTTTGAACCTTAAATTGGCACATAGTTTGTATGATACTTTACCTTATATAAATGTACAGACACTTACTTTTGCAGTTTAAACTGTCATCTGCTATACAGTTAGATTTTCAGAGTGGCTTAAAAGACAGAATACACATACATCCTTCTTGTTTTCTAATTTTACTAATAAATGTAATATTTTTCAATACATTTTGACCTAGCAATGTACTTTGAATTGCAGTACAGGACCTTGCCATTCTACACCAAAATATATACCTTGAATAAAGGAAATTTCGTTTTAAAAGACAGATTTTGGCTTGTTTTAACGTAGTCTCATAGTTTTCAAGACCAAAACGTTCGTTGATTTCAAAAACGTTAACAATATTTGCTAACGGCCGTTCGCCCGCTAAACGAACCAGTTGTTAGGGAAATTTAGTTCTAAGGTGTTATGGACAAAGCACCCCTTAATTTCTTGTTGAGTTTTTTTTTTTTTTTTTTGCGTGGTCTCTTTGTGCATTATCGTCCCCAAGTTTTAAAACTGTATACTATTTTCCCGAGGGCGGCAAGCGCGGGCGGAGCGGACTACTCAAAGTAAGGTGTTGATTGTCAGGCTGTTACCTAGACGCGGCTCAAAATGCAACAGGTGGTGTTGAACCAAGACGCTGCCCCCCTCCCCACCGGTCTGAAAGAAACGGGTCTGTTTAAAAAGATTTGTTCTTATAAATTCAACGTCATTTTCCTTTTATTTTATGAAACGCCAGAAACAGGTCTCTGATAGGAAAGGGGCGTGCGGCACGCCAAAACAGGCTCCGTACCTATAATACAAAGTACGACATTAAAATTAGCAGTGCACACTTACACTGATAAACTAAGTGTTCAACTGCTCAACACTTGTAAGTGTTGAACTGCAAGTTAAATAGTTGCAAGTGTGCAACTCGGTAGGAGTGCACTTGCAAGTGTGCAACTCCTCGGTTGAGTACTTCCTGCACAGCGAGCCTTCAATCTAAGGAGGTGTTCATCCGAGGAGTTGCACACTTGCAAATGCACACCTACAGAGTGAAACACTTGCAAGTGTACGACTGTGGGTTGCACACTTGCAAGTATTTAACTTGCAGTTGCACACTTACAAGTTTTGAGCAGTTGAATACTTAGTTTATCAGTGTAGTTCCTTTATAAAGAGTGGTCTTCATATTACGAAGAATCGGGTTCACAACGTACAAAGGATCTGGAACCACCATATTACAACGGATTTTCTTCTTTTTAGAGCACTAGTTAGTGAATAGACGCGTGATCTTTGTATTACAAAGCTGATCCTTTCGTAATACAAAGATTTGTTTAGATCAAACATTCCAATTCCCCCGTACGTTACGAAGAGCAATTTTTTATAAGATACTTACAGTGTAGTCTTTAAAGACAGATACTACCAGATACATTTATCCGTACCCACAATATCAATTAAACGGGCTCTTATGGGAAAGAGGATATGGAAACAAGGAACGTAGTGACTGTTATCTAAGCGAAGTAGATGTATGCCCGACTACGCCCGCCCGCGTAACAGGGTTCGCGATTTCTCAAGAAACACAGTTACGCTGCGACGCGCCTGGCGCACATCTATTCCAAGGCCTGCGGTGCTCACACCGAAGTCGGTCAAAAGGCACGATCAGAGATGCTTTCGGGCCTCAATAGACATTGTAAGATTTCAGCAGAATGCCACGCGCGCCTACCCGGGCGGAAGAATGTTAACTTTTAAGTACATCGCAGTACTCCACTTTTATTTTACGTTGTACTCGATTTAATGTGAACATTTTTTTCAAGTCATAGTTTAATCATTGTTTAGGAAAAGTCCACCTCTAAAGTTTACATTTTTTTCACAAATTGTAAAGAAATGTGAAATAAATGTTTAGTTTAAGTGGACAAATGTATACTAAAAGTGTACTAAAAGTACCACTTTTTTCGGCAAAGTACACTTTTTAGGGTACTTTCCGGAAGTTTTCATACACTTGTAGTACAAAGTTCGAAATACTCTAGAATACATATCTAATTATGTTTCAGTTCACAAAAAAGGATGCACTTGACTACACTTATTTGAGCCCCCCCCCCCCCCAAAAAAAAAGTTTCATTTTCTTTTCGGCTTTCTCTTTCCTCCCTCTCTCTTCACATCTTTTCTGGTGAATTTTCGTTGATTTCTGACCCGGCTGCCGGCGGGAGTTGAACCTGGGACCTCGGACCTGTGAACAGACGCATTAGACCACTCGGCTAAACTGCCGATGTGGCTGAATGGCGTCAGCTACCCGGTCACATACCAGAGGCCCCTGGAGAGGTGGAGTCAACTAACTAGTGTACATTAAGTGTACTTTTAGCATACTTTTGATAAACCTTGGTTTTCCCAACTATCAAGGCATTTAACGGCAACCTTTTTTTGGAGCTTTTATTCGCCAAGCGTGGTCGTAAATGACGATAAGGTTAAAGAGAATTTGAGATGTAAGAAAACGATAACTTTCACTTATGCAAGTAACAAAGTCCAAACTGTACACGGAAAAAAAGAATTTGCTCTCACAACTAACGATTTAGTTAACATGGACATAACAAACAATTTTAGTTGCAGGAGCAAAGAATTTGCTCTGGGAACCAAAATTCTGCTGTCACAACTAACGCGTCGCTATGGTAAGAAATGCGTTTGTTGTAAGAAAAAATCCTCGTTTAGTAACCAGAACAGTTGCATTTGTTACCATAGCCGACCATAGCGACGCGTTAGTTGTGGCAGCAGAATTTTGGTTCCCATAGCAATTTCTTTGTTCCTGCAACTAAAAATTATTTGTTATGTCTATGTTAACAAAATCGTTAGTTGTGGGAGCAAATCCTTTTTTTCCGTGTACTGTGATGTTTGCCGTTAAAATACATACAAAGTGGATTGAAAGTAGTATTGAAATGTACTGTGAAGTGCACAGTTCTGTCAACTTTTAAAAGTACTCATAGGTAACTAATTGTAAGCACTGTTGTGTACAATATTTGCACTTAAAATATCAGCTCGTAGGTGAATATCAAAGTACACTAAAAGTCCACGGAAACTACTCTAAAAAGTTGTCCTTTCTGTGTACTAGCGAGTTAAGTTGGCCATCTACTTAAACTTTTCACTCCTTATATTTTCGAAGTACACTTTGGAGGTATACGTTGACATATGTACTTCAAAGTACACTTAAAGTTAAGATCCTTCCGCCCGGGTAAAGTGACGCAATCAATTGAAGCTTTAACTTTATGTCTTAAGCGAAATTCGGTTCCTATTTCAATTTCCGAGCAATATGGGAATATAGGACAGCAAACATGTCAGTTGCGAGCCGCTCAACTAACAGCTTTGTTTTCGGAACTTTATCTAATCAGCTGAGAAAACTAATGGAAATCGTAGGTAGAACGAAATTGATAACTATGACAACAAACCACACCCTTAGATGTAGCCAAATTTTTGTTAGCTGTGGGAACTGACATGTTAAGCTTGGGCGCTCATCCAAGCCCTTGCAAATGAAAATGTGAAAATTTCACTTCTGGGCTGGTGGACGGTTCTATGTAGCACACTGTACTTCATTCCGGTGCATCTTGTCCCTTTTCGGTCTGAAACAGGCGGAACAGGACACAGAATGGCGCTGGGTGGGTGTTGACCGGTGTTGACCGTTGAATCCCGGACCTCAACTCCGCAGACGAGCTCGGAACCACTGAGCCACTGCATCACGCTCTGACAGTATCCCACCTCACACGCTGGAATATGCAAGGAGTGGGGGGAATCGTCTCAAAACATACTGTCAGCCAACACAGCTAACAGTCAGCTCTCACAATAAACATTGTTACTTGTCCCTCAACGAACAGTGTTGTGATAACTACCTGATAACACTGGCGTTCTGCAAACAAAATCCCTTCATTTATGACAAGGATTGGCATACGTTAGCATAATGCCTAGCAATATGTTTGTAGTTAACAGAACACAAAATCCTAACTCCAGCAAATAATTACTGGCTAAAACCCTACCGTTTGGTGTAATGCACTGCACTTGTCTGTATATATTCCAGTTTCTTCTAGCGAAATCGCTTCTAACTTACACAGTACCGAGCACAATACTCGTTTGTTTGGAGGGAGGGACGTAAAGAACGAGTAAAAATTGAAAAGAATGATGTTGTTCTTCTTTTTTACCTTGTATGATAACCAAGTTCGCTGCAGAAATAATTTGTCATATATGTGAAAGAACAAAAAGTCATTATGCATACCATATACATATGATTATGCATAATTATGTGGAAAGAAAATGCATACGGGTTTAGTCCGGTCTCGGATTTTTTCATTCATCGGTCCTAATCGCTGGTCGAAGAGACTCATCGGATTGGTAATATTTACTATTTTGGTAAACTGGTACACACATTTCCTTAGAGTTGGTAACATCTTAGGCTACGTGTTTGATTACAACAGAAGACCTTGAAGTAATCCGGTACCCTTGGCGTTACTAAGGAGGAAAATGTGCATTCGGCGGCATACTGCCAAATAAGATTCCTGGTAAACACAAGAAACATCACTGGCGGAGCAAAAGGCAGGCGTGAGAGATAAGGACTGCGGGTATAAAGGCTTAGGACACCGAACGAACGGAGAACACTCAGTACCACAGACAAGACCAGCCATGGCCCGCAACTACCACAGAAGACTCGCCCTGGCAGTGGTGAGTACTAGGGACACTACGACGCGGGTGCAACGACGCCTTTAAGCAGCCTTTTGGTTGAACCCCACTCACTTGCGCTCATACCCTGCCCCTTTGTGCAGGCCCTGATGAGCGCGCTGCTCGCTGTGCAGGCATTTGACCTGCAGAGATCCCTGCTGCCCCCTGAGCTGGCTGGCCTTAGCGCCGCAGAGCTGTTGGCGGCTGTCACAGCAGACCCGGATTGCACCTTCGCTAACCCCACAGATGCCACCGTAAGAAAGGAAACTGCCTGTGCTGGCTGCACCGTCGTCAAGACTTGCGTTTATGCAGGTTCTATCGGATGGATCGCGGGGAAAAATAGCAGCTGCTCGGGTGGAACGCCGTGGTGTAACGTAAGTGTTGTCACCACGTGACCTGACCCTACGCGCCTGACCCAGCCCTAACACCGCCGGCTCTCGCTCTCTCTCACACACGTAGGATGGCGCCTGTTCCGCCACGCCCAGCCCAACCCTAAACTGCAACTCAGCAAAAGCGGACGACACCTTCCAGTGCCCGTCAAATGGTTACTGGCCCAACCTGGCGTCCTGCAACAAGTACTGGATGTGCACGTCCGCCGGAGCCTTTGCTGGTGACTGCTCCGGCTACAACAACGCCGTGTATGACCCGCTCACCACTCTGTGCGTGCCGAAGAGCCAGGTCACCTGCAGTACGATCAGCTGCAAGAATGCCCCCGCCTACCAGGTGGTCCCGTCGGCGCCCTGGCTGTACGCCGTGTGCACGAGCGATAACTTGGCCGACGCCGTGGTGCTGAAGTGCGAGAACCAAAACCAGCGGTACAACGGCACGAACTGCGTCAACGCCTGCAACCAGGCCGGCCGCTTCCCGCTGTGGGCTCCAGACAGCGCGGCTGGCGCAGCTGGCGCTGACACAGGATCATACTTTGAGTGTGTGGCGAACGGAAACGAGCTCATCGGACCCACTGTTGGCAAATGCCCTGGCAAGGGTACCTTCGATAGCGCCACATCACGGTGCACGTTCACGTAAGAGCTGATAATTTCCTGTTCTTCACCATCTCGATTCAATAAAACTACTAAGAAAAAGTATTGTATTGTTACTTTGAAATATGATTCAAAAATCCTTTTTAAGAACGTGTTACACTGTTAGAAAAAGCTGCAGTGGATTCATGCAGGACGGCCAATAAATTTTTGCCCGGGTTGACCCTTTGACCATATTTAATTTTACGGTCGGATCGTATCAATTTTGACGGTTGGACCGTATTTAGTTTTACGGTCTGGTCTATTACATTGTGCCACCCTCGTCGAGCCTCTTCCACCGGGATTTCCACCTCTCCCTTACGTTGGATCTTCAGCTCGTCCTACATCATCGCCCGACACATTCTCCTGTATGATACGCGCGTCGACGCTCGTCCAGCGTCCTGCATACGGAGTGAAGGACTCTGGCTCCCCTCCACGTCCCTGGGGTGCGGCGGGTCCGCGGGGCGGGGGTGTCGGCTGCTGTGGGAACCTCGCTACATCCACTCCCCCACGCGGCTTTGGCGCACGCTCCCCGCCCCTCCGCGGCAAATCTGTGCGCCGTAACACGCATTCACCCGTCCTTCTCCTACTCAATAGTCTAAAAATGATAACACCTATTCGCGAAGCGGGAAAACATAAGACTTCGATACCCCATCTGTAAAACCGCACACCGCCTCCGCGGCTGGAAGAAAACTCTCAGCTCTCTCCCGCCTGCGGATAACCACAAACCTAGCTTGGCGCCCCGGACAACCGCATAAGTCGCTTTTTCACCGAAAATGTAATATGGGTACCATTCGAAAGGGAATTTCCCCGTCTTATTGACTTACTGAAAGCATTTGGTTCGTGTGGGCGAGGCCAATGGCGAGGCAAAGTCGAGTTGCCGTGCTGGCTATAGTAACAGTAACACACACTATAAACACTGCCTTAACATTGAAATATGCATCTGGTTTTCAGAACTGCAGCTTTTAGCCGTGTCGGCGGCATCTCTCGAAGAGGCGCTATTGTCACTATTCCTGCAAAGTTGCAGAAGCCCGATAAACGCGTTCTTCCAACAAAACTTTACAAATAACAGACGAAACAAACAGGAGCAAAGCAGCAAAGCTCCCTGCCGCGCCACCCTGCTGATCCTGCAGGCCGCGCTGAAGTGGGTGGATCTCTACGCGCCGAGGGACGGGCAGGCGGGTGGGCAGGACCCGGGGGAGCGAGGAGCAGAACATCCCTGTGAGAGTTATCAAATCTATAAGCCACGCGCCGCAGAGCACAGGCCTCCACACGGCCGCGCCGCCCAGCGCGCCGTGATGGCTCCATGATGGGCTCCACTTGATTAAAAATTGAGGCGGTTCCTTTCCGCCTTGTTGTTGTTGGGTGGAGCGACCCTCCGCCCGCCGCTGCGAATGCAGTGTGGCGGGGCGAGGTGGCGCAGGACGTGGTGGCGTTCCTTAACGCTACAGCCTTGCCGTACAGTGCATTTTGGAAGGTTCCAGCTTGAAGAGGGGTTCTATCTCAATATAAATTGTTTGCACCGATAAATAACCAATGGGCGCAACTGTTTTAAAACACTGTTATAACACTTTGCAATAAGTGTTCAACTGTGAGGTGAATACGTTGAATAAGCATTCAACTTCGAAGTAGTACACATGCAAGTGTCAACCGAGTTCAAATCTGTAGCTGTGCGCTGTGCAGTTGTAAGTGTGCAGCTCCTCTGTTAAACTCCTCCTTAGCTTGGACTCTTATTTTGGGCCGTGTTAAACCGTTAAACCGATGGGTTACTTACAAGAAGTGCCCCAGTATCATGTTGAGGATTTGCAAGTATACTACCACGCAGTTGAACACCTGCAAGATTTTAACATACAGTTGCTCACTTTACAAGTGTTAAGCAGTTGCATATATACAGACTTGGTTTACCAGTGTTGCTGTTCGGGCTGGAAGTGGAAACTAGGCATTGATAGCACAGACAAGCGCGAATAAGGGGATCTGGACATTACGAAAAGGAAATTAACACTACAGTGCAAACCCAACAGTCAGTTCGCAAGCAGAAGGAAGGGCGTAGCTGCAAGCACGCACGTGGGAGTATCTGCTTATGGAATCGTCTGCAAGCAACAGTATACTAGCCCTGTCGAATGTTCCTAGCAGTGTGCACAGCGCGCACATATTTACGGTCGTGATCTGACAAGATGCCCCGGTAATTTTAATGAAAGGAAAAAGTCGACATAAGAAATTAGCCTATTTTAAATCGGGTTACAAAATATAAAACAAGTGTGTAACTGCTAGTCTCGCTGCTGACAAGAGTCGACATGGCAAGCACAAATTTGCTCGTGCGTGCTAAGTCCATTGGCGATTGAGTAGAATGAATCAACG